TGTGCTCACGACCCGAATTTGCTCCCAGGCACACGGCTGACTCAGTCTTCCATCCTTCCGAGGTCGGTAAATGGAGTATCCAGCTCAGGGTGCGGGCAATGTGTAGCCTGCTCAATTGAACTGTAGCCCGCACAGAGAGTGTCGTAACAGCTATGGGGCAGTATACAGTATAAGCAGTGCACTTTGCTTTGCTGTCATGGAGGTGTGTGAATTCGCTCCAGGTTTTTAGTCCACATGTTAAAGCAATATCCGAGTTGCTGAGCCTAGTTTAGGGATAACTTTCAACATCTTGGATGTGTCGTATTAAAGTTCAGACTAAAATCAGAGTGGATCTGCCATTTCTGCAACATCAGATTCTTCAACCTCTACTAATTTGTTTGAGTAGAGAAAACAAACGTGGGACTGACTCCCTCACATGCATCTCGGCCCACCGACATATGTAAGTGCCTGGGCTCAAGACACTGGCCCTGGCCTCCTGTCTGCTTCATGCCGACACGGTATGTCCCCTTCGGCCAGGCTGTCCCGGCCTGTGTCCTGCTTCCTCCCATTCCACCGGCCACAGTGGGGGATCTACTGGATCCAGGCTACTGGCAATGCTTCTGGCCGGGTCTGACCTGAATAGCCGATTAGCCCCTCCCAGCTCTTGGACCTTTCAAAGGCATCCACACGGGATCGCCCACAGACAAGCAGGCAAATCCATCTTCCTCCATCTTCACTTCCATATCCCCTGAGTGCCTGGAAAGGTGAGGATTGTCCCCAGTTTCTTTTTGATTTCTTGGATGCAGTTTCCATTAGTATGGACTGCTTTTAAGGAGCAGGGTAGTTAAATCCCAAGACTGATCCCATTGTGACGTGCTGTTTGATGTTTCCAACAGCAAAGTCTCATGGGAAACTGACTGCTTCATTTTACAGTTCCTTTACATTTCAATGGAAATGGAGTCTAACATGTACCTCAAGTCTTCTTAAGCATCCTCTTAGATATCAGAATATGTTCCACCGGTTTATATCTCCATAATGTAAATTTTGATTCAGACTGTTAGTCTGTGGGAGGTTCTGCTAGCTAGGAGATTTTCTTAGGGTGCAATCATATTAACAAAAAAAGGTGGGAAATGCTATGGATTTGGTATAGGCTGATTTTCATTTTTTTCCCATTGACTACATGTCACTCTGTAGCCACTCTACCGTGCTAGTTCCCTTCCTGTCCTGGGATGGTTGAGGCCAGCAAGTAGTCAGATGCGCCGAAGGCTGTGGATGTTGACTGGAACTGTATCACTCTAGTACACAACAGTCAACTCCGACTCAGCAGTGTTTGCGGGGAGTCCAAAAAAAAAAATCCACAAGGCTAGGCACTTAGAATACATGCCAGCTTTGTAAGGTAGCTGCCACCACACCGACACAATGACTACACTTCCCAGTAGCTGATTGAGACAAGACATAGTTCTTTGTCGCAGGAAAGAGCCGCCTGTTTCTTTCCCCAAGGATTCCCTCCAAACTTGAGGTAACCCCACAATATTATCAGTTTTTGGAGAGAAGAAGGAGTCTAAACAGCTTCCTTTCTCCTCCTGAGCCCCGCTTCATGGTGGAAAATCTCTCTGTTTCTGCAAAGGTAAATCTGTCAGGAATTTTGTGTTCCTGAGATGGCCCTGTGCCAATTCAGTCTTCCAGGTCAACAGCAAAAAAAAAAAAAACCTCGCAGAGACGGTAGATTTCTCCATCAGCAATGAATTCACAAAAATGTACAGCAAAGTTCTGTACATCAGTCAGCAGACTTAACAATATACATAAGAGTAAAATAAACAGGCATTACTTTGGGCATGGGGTCACGAAGAGTCGGACACGACTATGTACAGCAAAGTTCTGTACATTAGTCAGCAGACTTAACAATATACATGAGAGTAAAATAAATGGGCATTACTTTGTGCAGCAGCTCTTCATATAAAGCTCTTTATTTCACTCTGATGTGCAGTCCCTACGTAGCATCAATCAATCAACCACTGGCATGACCTGACATGTTCACCCAGACATTACTTCATATTCAATCCACATTTTAAGTATTGCATCAGCTATACGTGCTGACCTTATAGCTGTACACCTGTTATAAAAATGGATTCCTACCATGTTTCCCCAAAAATAATAAATTTTATTCCAAAACAACGCATTAGGGCTTATTTTCAGTTCCAAAACAACGCATTAGGGCTTTTTTTCAGGGGATGTTTTATTTATTTTTTTCATGTACAACAATCTACATTTATTTAAATACAGTAATGTCATCTTCTCGTTGCTGTACAATGCCGGAGGTTGGGGGTTCACTTAACTGGGGCTTATTTTGATGGGTAGATGGAAAGGCTGAAAAGTAAACTTCAGATGCGAGCACAAGGGGGAATCTAGCCCATCTAGGAGAAGGGAAACTCTGATTTTAAATCTCCACTGCCTTGTGCTGTATCCATCAATGGAAAAGGCTTCAGGCAAAATCCAGAGCCGGAGTCCCGGAGGCAGTTCACCACTCATATTGGCTCTTGCCTTTCCACTGGACTGTTTCAGTGATGTGGAGAGGTGGGATTTGCTGCTTGGGTTACAGACTGTTCTCCATATTATTTTACCCAGGCATCGTGCCCTGGAGAGCACACTCCAAGTTCAAACCCACCCATAAGCTCAAACATAGGTTACAGGGGGAAAAATATGTGTCATAAAAATCCTTCCCCCTACAAGTCATAACCATCGAGTCCCAGATCACCCACTGGGGTTTTTTGGGTGGGTGGGTGCAATTATGAAGAAAACAAATGGATAGACATTACTTCCAACCGATCCAAAGGCGTTTCGGAGGAACAGAGTAATAGAACACTCTGGTTCATACACTCTGATTCATGTACAGTGGTGCCTCGCACAGCGAGGTTAATCTGTTCCGGATTAACCCTCGCTGTGTGAAAACATCGCTGAACGGGGCAGAAAAGCCCATTGGAATGCATTAAACAATCAGCTGCTGTACTCACCGTTCAGTGATGTTTTTCCGATGGCCGTCAGCCATTTTCGCACCCTCTCCTCGCTTAATGAGGGCGCGAAAATGCTGCGCGCAGCCATTTTGCTGCTTCCAGCGGCCATTTTGTAGCCGCCGAACAGCTGATCGGCGGGTCGCAAAGTGAAGGTCGGTAAGCGAACCGCTTACCGACCTTCGCTCTGCGATTTTTTCCCTATTGAGGCATCGGTATGCGATCGCATTTGTGATCGCAAAACCAGCCTCGTAGAGTGAATTCATCGCTCTACGGTGCATTCGTTGTGCGAGGCACCACTGTACTAAGAGTAAATTCTACTTTACGGGCCACAATATCCTGACAAGATCCATCTCCTTGTACCCGTTCTATAGGGCTTGATGTAAGGCTCTCCCTCTCTCTCCCCTTGATGCTTTGCCTCTCCTCTCATGTGTGGGCCCCTTCCAGGGTTTCACATTTTGCAGTATATGTACGGCTGTGAGCTGAGGAAGGATGGGAGCAAAAGAGGGCATTTCCAGCATGCCTACAACGGGAGAGACTTCCTCAGATTTGACATAGAGACCCTCACTTGGATGGCAGTTGATCCCACAGCCCAGATCACCCAGAGGAAGTGGGAAGCAGAACCTGCCGTTGCCCAGAGAAAGAAGGCCTATCTGGAAGAGGAGTGCATTGCGTGGCTGCGGAGGTACCTGGACTACGGAAAGGAGACACTGCTCAGGACAGGTGAGGCGGTTGGGGGGACAAGGGGAACTGGGACGGCACCTTCTGGGAAATGGGCAGTTTGCTATACAATCCTTCCTTTCTCCCTTGCTTCCCCCAAACAGCCTCTCTGCCTCTACTTATTATTTACCAAAAAGGAGGCAAGACGGTGCAATCAGATTCTGGTTTATCCCTCATTTTGGATTCCAGATGGGGTGGTGAAGTGTTGTCTGGGCTACTTGTATACCACCCAGAGACTGTCTGTTCACAGATTGGGGTGGTGAAGTGTCTGGGCTACTTTTATACCACCCAGAGACTGTCTGTTCACAGAGGGGTGGTAGAAAGAAAGAAAGAAACTAATATTTTTTTCTGGCAACAACACAACATAAAACTCACTGTGAACCAGCCCAGCCTTCTTCTATAGCCATCCAGACCTTTGTGGATCACCAGCTGAGGCTATCCTTGTTCTGGAATGATTACGATCACACAATTTCATTCATTCATTCATCCATTTTTTATTTTATTTTATTTATTGTATTTATACCCCACCTATCTAGTCATTTCGACCACTCTAGGCAGCTTACAACATAAAGGATAACAAGTTCAAGAAAAATTTATAACAATTAATTAATTAAATGATTCTGCAAGATGGAAAAAATACAAAATAAATCAAATAAAGAGAAAAAAAGGAGAGAGGACAGGAATTAACTGGAAGGGAAGGCCTGCCTATACATCCACATTTTTCGTTGGTTCTTAAAAGTACCCAGCGAGGGTGCAGCGCGAATCTCTGGAGGTAGGTTATTCCAGAGGCGAGGAGCCACTGCCGAGAAGGCCCGGTTTCTAGTTCTTTCCTTCCGGGCCTCCCTCAGCGTCAGGCTCCTCAGCTTCACCTCCTGGCTCGCGCGGGTGTCACGGGTAGAACTAGTTGGGAGTAAGCATTCGGCCAAGTATCCATCCATCCATCCATCCATTTATTTTTTATACCACCCATTTGGCTGCCAAGACCACTCTGGGGGGTTTAGAAAACAGGATAAAACAATAACAGAGTTAATGGTTGTTGTGGGTTTTTCAGGCTCTTTGGCCGTGTTCTGAAGGTTGTTCTTCCTAATGTTTCGCCGGTCTCTGTGACCAGCATCTTCAGAGGACAACCATTAGAGCCTGGCCGTGAAAGCCTTTGCGAAAATAACACAGTTAACTTCTCTGAATTCCTATTACTGGAAACAAACTCCAGTTTAACCTGTGTGTGGCACACATTCCTGTTCCTTCAGCCCTCAAAAACATTGAAAATATCCAGTGACTCTCATGGCCAGAATTTCCGAAACCCCTGCTCTAAATAAATCATAAGCAATTTTTATTTGAGAATTTAGATGTCTCTGATTTAACAAACAAGATTTTGAAAAGCACATTTCTACTCTGTTAAGAGTGTCTGATAATTTAATTGTAACTGGCTTTGAACTGATTGATAGGGAGATAACGAGATTTCTCATGGCCTTGCTGGGTGAATGCTTTGATCTAAATAGGCTTGCTTGTATGGGCCGTGTAGTTCCCAGTCCTGAAATCATGTGATCTTTGTGTGTGGATGCAAGGATCATTCTGCATCTCAGGCTGCTCTTTCAAGTGATGCAGTTCAGCCCAGGATAACTTCACTGTCCAGTTCCCCCCTGAGGGAGGTTTGAGTGCCTACATTGGCGCTCATTTTGCTATTTTTGCAGAGGCACCTTTGGGAAAGGTGACCCGCACGTTCGTCTCCAAAGGGAGGGAGATGCTGGTCTGCCAGGCCCACGGCTTCTACCCCAAGGAGATTGAAGCCACCTGGAGGAAGGGTGGGGAGATCATGGAGCAGGACACCTTCCGGAGGAACGTCGCTCCCAACGCCGATGGGACCTACCACGCCTGGCTCAGCATCGAGATCAACCCCGAAGACAGAGAGCTCTACCGATGCCACATCGATCACGCTGGCCTGGCTGTGCCTCTCGTCTTGGCCTGGGAAGCGCCTGGTGGTGAGCAGCTGCAGGGGAGGGAAGGCCCTGGGGTGGGAGAGGAACATTTGCAAGGGACGGGCCTGAAAAATGAAGCACCATCCTGGGCAAAAACTCTTCTGTAGGAGGAGGTCAGATCTATTCAGGGAGGTTGGAGCCATCCGTGGCTCTTAGGGTGCTTCTGTCTCTTATTACCTCATGTCAGACAGTATGCATCTGACTGTGACAGGTTTTGCACGCTGTTGTGAAAGCCGGCAGTGGGTTGGTGGGGTTTTGGAGAGACAGCCTTGCTTTGGATCAGGTCAAGGGGAGGGAGGGTTTTGGCTCCATGGCAGAGTCCCCTTTTTTCACATTTGAGAGGTCCCTGATTCAGTCTCGGCACCTACCTCTGAAACTCTCAGGACCTCATGGTGGGGCCTGGGAGAACCTGCTGCTTCTCAGAACAGCCATGAGTTTGCCTCTTTTTGTTTTAGATAATGTGAGACACATCGTGGGAATCGTCTTTGGGGTCCTGGCTGCTCTCCTCCTGATGTCTGCTGGGATTATCTTCTTTCTCAGTGAGTAAACCCTGAACACATCTCGTGAGTCATCTCTGTTGTTCTGTGAAAGATGCTCATGAAGATCTTGCACCTGAAGATCAAACACGTGGATGCTGTTGCTTGAGTACTCTCAGTCTGATCCCATCATGGCATCCTCATTTGTTCACCTTGAATTGGGCATCCACAGTGTAATTTTCCACCCTGAACTCATCATCCTAGCCTTTTCATGTTTTAGAAACCATTTCTGGGGCTTAAATTCTTTTTGTTCTTTGAGGAAGAAGTAATGACATATCCAGATTCCCAAATCTAACTTCTCCTTGACTGAAAAGGTAGCTGAGCATCATTTCATCTGGTCGTACTCCTCTTGCTCAAATCATCATCTACACAGAAACGTATTTTTAGGAAATGGGCTTGTAGTGCCATGTGGATTGTAATAGCTGAGTGGTTTAGGTACCTATCTGCGGAACCAGAGGTAGGGAGTTCAAATCCCCAACTGTGCCTCCTTTCAGGAACAGCCAGACTGGGGTGCCTTGGGCAAGCTGCACAGTCCCATGTCAACCCCTGGGAGAAGGGAATGGGAAACCCTTTCTGGATACTCTCTAACTAGAAAACCCTAGAAAGGGTCACTATATATGAGTCAGAAATTACTTGGTGGTATTTGATTATAATTATTATAATTCCCCTAATTTAAAGGGGGTTGTCTCTCCCCTTTGAAGACTAGCCTTTGATGTTTGAGACTCTCAACTTCTCTCCCATCATTCGAAGAAACTATAACTGGACCATCCCAAATCCTACATGTAGGAAATCTGTTTATAATTTTGTTTTTGATGTTTTCAGTTTCTTTGAATTACCACAGGGATAGATCCATGAGACCAGGTGATGAGTGAAATGTACTTCCGTGCTCCAGAGGAAAGCACCAGGAGGGATGGGGTTACATGGAAGACCCGTGGATGCAAAGTTTGACACCTGGACAGCTGTCCTAGCCTGGGAAATTTTGGGGTCTTCTTTCCCTGGCGATGCTTATGTAGAGCAGAGACCAGAAGAGCACCTGAGGTGGAGGTTTAGAAGACCCCTCTTACTACACCTGTCGTACAGGATATTCTCTGGGGACCCCCTTCTGATATTCTGACTTTTTCTCTCTCTCTCTCTCTCTCTGCAGGGCGCAAGCAACAGGGAGGACCCTTGTAAAGCAGCGTTAACTGAGTCCTCCATCGCGGGTACCTTATTTCAGTCGGGTTCAGAAGCAGTTCTTCCCAAGACACTTCCTCACTCTCACGAGCACCTCTTTCCCTGGCTGGAAACATTTATACACCTTCTGATGTGGGAGAGGCCTGCACGGCAGGGAGGAAACCAACCGAGAAGAAGGGGAAAAGGGAAAGTGGTCCTTTAAATGGACTTCAGTGCCTTCTGCTGCCTGGCTGGATAGCTCAGCAAGTTAGCTATGCAACTTCGGAGGTTGGGGGTTTGGTTCTAATCCATTCCGTCCAAAGGAAAAAAAATCACCAAAAAAAAAATTAAAAGAACACAGCAAGCTCAGTCAGAAGGTGCTCTGTTGCTGAGGTTTAAGAAGAAGAAAAGCCTCCATAAACAAAAAGTAAAGCCACCTCCGTTCTAATCCATTCCGTCCAAAGGAAAAAAAATCACCAAAAAAAAAATTAAAAGAACACAGCAAGCTCAGTCAGAAGGTGCTCTGTTGCTGAGGTTTAAGAAGAAGAAAAGCCTCCATAAACAAAAAGTAAAGCCACCTCCGTTGCTGAGGTTTAAGAAGAAGATGAAACCTCCATAAACAAACACTAAAGCCACCTCCACGGTTTAAGAAGAAGAAAAAACCTCCAATAATAAAAGC